ACTCGCAGGAACTATCACGCCCACGTCCCATCTGACAGTGCTCACACCAGCGCCTCGGTGGGCAGCGCTGGTCCTCCTCGCGGCGCTGTCTCTCCTCTGGCGTCGGCTCACGGACGTCAGGGAACGCGGTCGGTTCCACCACCTGCCCCGACTCCGCCTGACGCCTCATCTCCTCGCGCCTTAGCTCGCGGAAGTCATCCGTCGCCGCCCTCGCCTTGCGTCTGCCCTCGTACTCGACGAGCCGTGCCCAGCACTGAGCCTTGGTCCCGTAGCATGGGGCGCAGATATCCTCGAGGTGCGTCTGCATGGCGCCGACCCTCGAGCTCGGCCCGAGCCCCTCGAGGCACGGCCGCCCCGACGGCTGCGCCGCTGCGGGTGCCTCCTGGCCCTGCGCGGGCGCCGCCGCCTCCTGCGCCTGCGGCGGCGCCGCTGCCGCCGCCCGCGGCGCCGCGGCTCCTGCCTCTGGCGGCGCCAGGTCGCGTGACCCTCGAGCTTCTGGGTGCGGCGGAGGGCCCTCTCCTCGCACCGTCCCCCACGGAGCTCCCGCGGCACCAGCTGCGGCCACCCTGGCGGGGCAGGCTGCGAGCTCGGCCTCGCCCATCGCGTCGTGGATCTGCGCGGCGAAGTAGAACGCATTACCGACTAGCTCCACGTCCGCCCGCTCGCCCGCCCTGAGGTTCACAGCGCGCGGTTCGCTCTCCAAGAACAAACCTGAACTGCTTGCGCGCCAGCTTCCCGAGGCTGAGCACCGCGTCCTGAGGGGCGAGGTCGCTGCTCACTCTGAGGCCCCCCATGCATGGCTGGCGACCCTTCTCGCCACCTACGACCATCGGGATCCCACGGAGCCCCATCGGTACCAAGCCTCTGGCCGCTCACAGCGGTGAGCTCGGGCGCAGCGGGGCCCTCCTGGACCGTTGGACGCTGTGCCCCGAACGCCCGACCGCAGAGATGCCCGTCGCTGCCACTGTCTGCGAGGATGAGCCCTCTGCGCCCCCCCCTGCGGCAGCCTCCGACCGAGCTCCTGACTCCAAAGACCCAACCGACCTCGTCGCCGCCAGGGCCTGCAACCACCGCGCTCACGGCCCTCTGGCCCTCAGCGCCAACGGGGGCCTGCCGGACAGCGACCGCCTTCGGGGGCGCTGCTGACGGCGCCCGTGGCTTGCCAGCCGCCTTGTGCCAGCAGCCCTTCTCCTTGCGCCCCTGCTTCTGGCACCAGTTGCAGGTTCCCTCGAACTTGGCGGGGTAGCTGCCCTTGAGCTTGTCATTATTGGCTCCCTTCTTGCTGCCTTTTTCGCCCTTGTCGCCCTTGCCGCCCATCGCGTCGCCTTTGCCGCCTCCCGACTTGTCGCCATTGCGCTTGGGCCAAGGCTGCTGCGGCAGGGCATGGCCCGAGATCGCACCGATCTCCATCGGCGCCGCGCCTTGGCCCACCGTACCGCTAGCTGCGAAGACCTGCCCCGACGCCATTCACTCTCTCAGGTGGGTCCTCAGCGCCATGTGCGAGACCTTGGCGGCCGTCGGAGCGTTGCGTAGCACGGTTTTGTACGGCTCGGGGCCATGGACGAGCAGCGCGGCGATGCGGAACTCATCGCCGAAGTCCTTCCCCGCCTGCATGCCGTACCTCGCCACGTCGTTGTCCCAGTCAACGAGCTGGTCCGCGAACGGCTTCTGGTCATCCCACGTGGGGTTGATCAGGCCTCTGAACATGGCCGCGAACCTGTCGCCCACTCCAGGCCCGCACTCGTTCTTGATCGCTCGCCAGGCAACGAAACCCTCGTGCCTGCCTGCGAGCGTCACCATCGCCAGCGCCTTGCGCTGGGTCTTGGTGATCAGCATGGCACGCAGCAGCTTGCTCGTCGCTGCCGCGCGCTCGCCCATGCTGACGTCGTCCACCGCGAGCGCTGGCTGGGCCTCAACGTTGTCGATGAGGTCATACCAGCCCATCACCGCGAAGAACGCGTGGGCTTTCATGGACCAGCTGGGCCAGTCCTCATCCCTGCCACTGAAATCTGGCAGCTTGATGTCGCCTCTGCAATCCACCAGCTGCTCTCTGGGCGCCGCTGCCATGGGCAGCGCGCGTCCTCAGACTTCCCGTGGATCTGATCTGCGCAGTTCACCGCAGAACCACGCTCACCGCTACCATGGCGGAAGTTACGCGGATGCGTGGGGAAAGCGTATATTGGGCCTCTTTTTCCTCCAACGCAGCTCGAACAGAAGGGCCCGCGGGCATGCTACGAATTGATGGCGTCCGAATCACTCAACATCCCGAGCAAATTTGCAACGAGCTTCCTTGTATCGCAGCTGTATTGGACCCTGCGCCTCAACCACGTTCCGCCAACATTCCGCCAACCTTCCGCCAATCTCCCGCGATGTAGAGACCGATGCGGGGAACGTTCCGTCGCCTTCCGCTGCGCTTCCGCAACCTTCCGCCACGCGCACCTTAAACCTATATTGAAAATTAAGTTGCGGAAGTACGTGCACCGTTTCTCACATGCGTTCCGTTCCGATCCACCCGCGAACGGATGACTCCAACATCCGTGGTCGATGTTCCCTCCGAAAATCAAGGCGCTATACTTATTGCACGCGTCCTGCCGATGATGCGGACTGGTAAACATGATGTTATGCATACACATGCAGATAATCATACACACATACAGACATGCAGACAGACATACATACATACATACATACAGACAGACAGACAGACAGACATGCATATGTACATACGTACCTACGTCCATACATACATAAATACATACATACATACATACATACATACATATATACATACATACATACATACATACATACATACATACATACATACATACATGCATACGTACATACATACATACATACAAACGTACATACACATAGGCATAAACATATACATAGACATATGCAATCATATATGCATCTGCATATACATGTCAATACATATATGTATGTATATATGCACGGAACACAAGACGAACAGGGCGGCGACAGCGCGATGGCGGCGGGCAAGCGGCGGCCGCCGGGCAGCGGCGGCAAAGGCGGCGGCGGGCGGCAAGCGGCGAGGGGCGGCGGCAAGCCGCAGCCGCGGACGGCGGCAAGCGGTGGCGGCAGGCGGCACCAGCGGGCGGCGGGGGGAGGAGAAGGGGGCGCCCCCCAGCCTCTCCTTCCTTCCTCCTCCTCCTCCTCCTCCTCCTCCTCCTCCTCCTCCTCCTCCTCCTCCTCCTCCTCCTCCTCCTCCTCCTCCTCCTCCTCCTCCGTTTTCCTCGTTTTCCTCTTTCTCAGCCTCGGCTTGTGGGGGCATTCCGGCGGCGTTTCCGCGCCTCTTCCGCGGGTGCCCTCTTCGCCGCGGCCTCTCTCTTCATTGCCTCATCATTCCGCCTCCCCTCCCCTCCCCTCCCCTCCCCTAATCGTGCCGCACCCTCCGCCCCCCAAATGGACGTTTTACTTCCGCATCCTCCCGCAGCCTTCCGAAGACTTTCGCCTAACCAACAGATGACAACGTTGTTGACTTGGAGGCGCAAGCGGTTTTCCGAAATCCTTAACTTCTCTCTCTCTCTCTCTCTCTCTCTCTCTCTCTCTCTCTCTCTATGTATATATATATATATATATATATATATACATCTCTGAATACATCTTTCATACGCATAGACATAGACATAGACATACATATAACTTACATGTATACATCCAAACATGCATCCATCCATGCATACACACATACCTGCACGCATACATACCTATATGCATGAGTACATGCATATACAAACGTACACACCTATGCTTGTCAACCTGATACACTACAACTGAATGCGCGTATGTGTACACCGCCATACCGAATAACACGCGCCCCCCCCCCCTCCGCCCCCCCCCAAAAAAAGAATGGACCAGCCTTAGGTCGGGCATGTTCCCCCTACAGGCAGATGTTGGACAACAAAATTGAAAATGCCCCAAAAAATATACAAAAATGCTCGAAGTAAGACTATGTTTGGAGACTCCTTCTGCAGAGGGACAGGCCTGACTTAAGACCAGCCCTCTGGACGCCTGGCGCTTCTCTGGGGCCCCGCCGCGCTCTCTGGGGCTTCCAGCACGGAACACAGCGCTCCTCCTGGCCACTTGCCCCCCCGCGTGCTGGGCCCCGCCGTCGCCGCGTGTGTTGCCCGCCCCCCCCCCCCCTGGGCGAAGCAAGACGAGACGAAGGAAGGATGAGGATAAGTGCTGTTCGACAAGCGCGTTCCACTACTCGCAAAGTAACTACTCGCAAGTGGCCTGGATCCGCCGCGGGGGATTTGCGATAAATTCTATCGAAGCAGACTTGTGTTCTTCGGACGTTTGCGAGTAGGCACTTTGCGAGTAGTGGAACGCGCTCGGTCAGCTGTGGAGCGACGAAAAATCAAGAACAAAAACGACTTGACAAGAACAAAAAACCAAAAACAACAACAACAAAAAAAGTCGTCGGAGCCTGAGGGCCCCTTCTCGTCGAACTCCCGGGGCGGCTTCCTCGCGGCCTGGCCCACCGGCCCGACCGGGGCGAGGTCGCACTCCCGGCCCGCACGAGGATGGGTCAGAAAAATCTCTGAGTCGGCGGGCCCGGAGCCCAATGCCGGGCGCCGCGACCGGTCGGAGAACGCCCCAGAAGGCCATGGGAGCGCTCTGGAAGGCTCTCCAGGTCGCCGAATTTCGCGCATCGCGCCTCGCGATGCCGCCGCAGAGAAAAGCGCCTCGGCAGCCCATGCCGCGACGCGCGCAGCGCGACTATCTTCGCGCCCCTGGGGATGACGTGGGCTATGCAGGCGGTCGATCCTCACCCTGAGAACTCCGACGTCACGTTGTTGTTCGCAACGTGCATCCCTGGAGGTCTGGAGCGCTTCCCCAGGTCAGGCGTTTCATCCCGAGTCTTGCCTAGACGGTCCCAGCCCCAGGAGGCCGAAGGTGCCAAAGAACGTCCGTTGTTATGCTTTTCAAAGACGAGATGGGGTGGGCCTCCCAGGCAATGTACCGCCGTCCTCGTGCAGACCCCGGACCAGGCTGCGCACCGGGTCCGCCTCCTGATTCGCGAGGGCGCGACCAGGGCGACCCCCGCCACGACCACGACCACCAACGACGACGACGATAGCGATAGCGACAGCGACGACGGCAGCGGCGACGGCGACTACTATGGCGGCGGCGGAGGGGACGACGACGACGACGACGACGACGACGACGACGACGTCGTCGACGACGACGACGACGAAAACGAAGACGACGACGATGGCGGCGGCGGCGGCGGCAGCGGCGGCTGCGGCGGCGATGGCGGCAGCGGCGGCCGCGACTCCGACAGAGACGGCAGCAACGGCGCAAACGACGGCGAGCACGAGGACGAGGAGGACGAGGGCGACGAGGGCTCGGGAGCCCGAGGACGGAAAGGGGGACATCCTCGTCGTCATCGTCATCGTCGTTTTCCTTTTCCCGGTCCTCCTCCTCCTCCTCCTCCTCCTCCTCCTGCTGCTGCTCCTCCTCCTCCTTCCTCTCCTCCTCCTCCTCCTCCTTCTCCTCCTCCTCCTTCTCCTGCTCCTCCTCCTCCCCCTCCTAAGAGGAGGGGAAGGAAAAGAAGGTATCCGAACCTTCGCAACCATTCCTTCCCATCGTGTTCATGCATTATCTATCTGCCGATCGGTGCACTTAGTGAACCTACATCCCCCAAGCCCCCAAATGACCCCTACCGTGCGATGCGCAATCAGAAGAGAGAAGACAACAACAACAACAACAACAACAACAACAACAACAACAACAACAACAACAACAAGAACAACAAGAACAACAACAACAACAACAACAACAACAACAACAACAACAACAACAACAACAACAACAACACAACAACGACAACGACAAACAACAACAACAACAACAACAACAACAACAACAACAATTACTAGCACGTGGGGACACTCCGTTCTCACCAGTGCCAGGGTTTTCATAGGAGGCGGGCAATACCCCCACTTTGTGGGGGGGCCGGTTCAAGCTCTACCAAATTTCCAAACGACTCTTCGCCACCACCCACACCCAGCTTCCCGCCCTATGACGTTCGGACACTTCACTTCGTGGCATGCGGACGACCGTGGCTACTATTCAGGGCCCCGCGGCCGACGACGACGGCGTGCGCGCGCGAAGAAAAAACGAATGTGTCCCGCATGGTATTATTTGACAGGGATGATGGCCCTGGCAGGTGCGCAACCGTTGTTGCAGAAGTTCGAAACAGTTGCTCGCAAAAGCCCGTTTGACAGAAATGTTTAAAAAGTGTTGGGTTTCCTACGAATCCGCAAGAGCGCGCGGGATGAAATTTTGACATTTTTTTGTTGAAAAACCATTGGTTTTTTGATGTTTTTATGTTAAAATCGCTACGAAAACTAAGGTTTTGGAAGGATTTCGTCTTGCGCGCGCGAATGTCCACTTTACCTTATTTTTTGCAAGGGATTCTTGAAGTTTGGTTATGTTAGAACAAGAAATGTCCACTTTAGCTTATTTTTTGCAAGGGAAAACGGGCCGTAACGAAACAACCGGATCTGGATCACATCGTTTTACCTGAGACTTCCTCACGAAAATGATGAAAATGTGGCTGCGGCCTAGGCGCGGCGAGGGGGCCGTGCACCAGGGGTCCCAACAATAATTATTCTTTAGAAGAAATAATGTTCAACAACAACAACAACAACAACAACAAGAGCAGCAGCAGCAGCAACAACAACAGCAACAATCAGTTTACGACTGTTCGCTCTTACTGGCGCTCGTGTCTTGCATTCTGCACACCCCAACCTTCGATACCCGCCCACTTCGTCTTCGATTGCACTCCCTTTCGGGGGGAATCTCTTCCTTGTCGGCCACTGACTGAAGAGCGAAAGAAGTCTCGAGCGAGAGCGCCGTTCCTGAGTTCGGGGGCCTCTCTGGCCAGGGGGCTCTCGGAATACCTATGGACAAATATCGAACGGGAACCCTTGTCGCCGTGTCCAAGCCTCCACCAACTTGCCTGAATTACCGGAAACTCTCGAGCGAGAGCGCCGTTCCTGAGTTCGGAGGCCTTTTTGGCCAGGGGCTCTCGGAGTAAATCGTGAGGAAGTATCGAGCAGGAACCCTTGTCGTCGCGGCTGGGCCTCCGCCAACTTAATTTAATTGCGAAGAAGTTTCGAGCGAGAGCGCCGCTCTTCAGTTCGGGGGCCTCTCTGGCCAGGGTGTCTCGGGGTAAATTGTGAGGAATTATCGAGCGGGAGCCGTTGTTGTCGCAGCTGGGCCTCCAAGGGCCCACACTTAAGCTCAAACCAACGCTCGAGCGGGAGCCTCGTTTTCAGAGAGAATGCAGCCGGCGTCGAGGCGAGAGCGCGCGGAACCGTTTCCAGAGATCAACAGAAATTATTCTTTAGAAATGAGTTTTCAACAACAACACTAACAACATCAACAACAACAACAACAACAACATCAGCAACAACAGCAACAACAATAACAACAATAATAATAACGTCAATACTATTCGCTCTTACTGGTTCGCGTGTCTTGCATTCCGTATACCTCAAACCTCGATACCCGCCCGCTTCGTCTTCGATTGCACCCCCTTTAGAGGGGAATCTCTTCCTTGTCGGCCACTGACTGAAGTGCGAAAGAAGTCTCGAGCGAGAGCGCCGTTCCTGAGTTCGGGGTCATCTCTGGCCAGGGGCTCTCTGAATACCTATGGACAAATATCGAACGGGAGCCCTTGTCCCCGTGTCCGGGCCTCCACTAACTTGCCTGAATTACGGGAAGGTCTCGAGCGAGAGTGCCGTTCCTGAGTTCGGGGGCCTTCTTTGCCAAGGGCTCTCGGAGTACATCGTGAGGAAGTACCGAGCAGGAACCCTTGTCGTCGTGGCTGAACCTCCGCCAACTTACTTGAATCGCGAAGAAGACTCGAGCGAGAGCGCCGTTTCTGAGTTCGGGGGCCTCTCTGGCCAGGGTGTCTCGGGGTAAGTTGTGAGGAAGTATCGAGCGGGAGCCGTTGTTGTCGCAGCTGGGCCTCCAAGGGCCCACACTTAGGCTCAAGCCAACGCTCGAGCGGGAGCCTCGTTTTCAGAGAGAATGCAGCCGGCGTCGAGGCGAGAGCGCGCGGAACCGTTTCCAGAGATCAACATTCATTTTTCTTTAGAAATGAGTTTTCAACAACAACAACAACAACAACAACAACAACAATAATGATAATAATAATAATCATAAATAACAATAATGATAATCATCATCATAATCATAATACTGATACTGATACGAGTATTAATAATAATGGTAATATTCATAACAATACGAATTATAATACTAATAACGCTAATAAGAATAACAATGCTGATAATAATAATAAGAATACTAATAATAATAATAACAGTAATAATAATAATAATAATAATAATAACAATGACAACTGTGCTACAATGGAGGAGGAGGAGGAGAAGGATGAAGTGGCGGACGGGCATGAGGAGAGACAGGAAGAAGAGGCAAAATAAAAGAGAGAGAGAGATATATATATATATATATATACATACAGATCTATATATATATATATATATATATATATATCACAACAACAAAAAAGGAGCAGCAGCAGCAGGAGCAAGAGGAGTGGGAGTACCAGGAATGCTGGCCTGGTGGCAGCGCCGAGCGGCTCCAGCGTGGGTCTCTGCGGGAGGGTCGCAGTGAACCACGGCGGATGGACTGGCTGCAGCGTGGGCCTGGCGGCCCACGTGGCTGATTCCCCCGGTCCGGATGACGGTCGGCGATCGCCGTCGTCCGAGGTCGGGCAGTCGGCAGTGGGTCGTCCGCGGTCGCCCCGGCCGTCGGCGGGCGGTCGTCGGCGGTCGTCGGACGGTCATGGGCGACAACACGGAGACTGGCTGGAGTGCTGGCTTGGTGGCAACACTGCGGGGCGCCACTTGGGGGTCGTTGGACACGGCGGGAGGTCACAAGGAATCACGGCGGATGGACTGGCTGCAGCGTGGGGCTGGTGGCCCACGTGGCTGATACCCATGAGTCGGCGGGCGCTCACACGGAGGTCCACAACGGTGGCAGCACTGAGGGGCGCCACCTGGGGCTCGTCCGACACTCGGCGGGGGGGGGTCACAACGAACAGCGGCGGATGGACTGGCTGCAGCGCGGGCCTGGTCAGGGAGCCCACAAAGGACGTACGCGCCCAGATACGTACATGAACGCGGCCCCTGGACCCGCGAGACCGGCCGCGTGATACGAAGATTCGCCGAATGCGAAATCTCGAAAACAGCGTGGATTCATGTACGTGTACGTCCTTCTTTCGCTCCTGACTGGTGGCCCACGTGGCTCGTGTCCCGGAGAGTTGGCGGACGCTCATGCGAAGGGCCACTGCGGACTGCGCCATTGGTGGCATCACGGAGACGGGCTGGAGTGCTGGCCTGGTGTTGCGGATGCCACGACGATGGACACCCTAACAGTCCCATCATCGAATTCAAAATGCGTTTAAAATGTCGGAAAATGCCCTGCTAAATGTTTAAGACATGTGTCTTGAATACATCTTTAAACAGAGATAACACATGCTCTAGACATCTGGAAATGATTTGGCAGCATCCTTCCTCTCTATTGATCGTCCTCCACAAGCCTGGTGGCAACACTAACCGGCTCCACTGCTGGTCGTCGAACACCTGGCTGGAGGGCCGCAGTGAGCCGCGGCGAGTGGTCTAGCTGCACGTGGTGGCCTGGTGGCCCCCTTGGCTGGCGCCGGTGGTCGCCAGCGGACTCTCGGGGGGAGGGCCATCATGAACCACGAAATGTGGGCTGTCGATAAATGGAGCGGAAGGATGCTGCCAAATAATTTCCAGATGTCTAGAAGATGATTCAAAAATTGTCAAAAATGTATGTTATATAAGAGCAACATGTTTGAAACATGTTCAGAACATGTGTTGCACATGTTAAACACATCTTGAATTCAATGATAGGATTGTTAGTGTCCATTGTCATGGCATCCACAAGCCTGGTGGCCAGGGCCAATTCCACTGGCAGTCGACAGAGGCCCGCCGGCAGGGCCGCGATGCTCTGGCATATGGAGGCTGGCTGCAACGACGGCCTGGTAGCCTCCCTGCTCAGCGGGTGGTGGGGCTTCGGCATGGAAGACGGCACGCAGGCCACGTAAGGATCTGGGTAAGTGACCACGGTGATCCTGAAGGTCTCCATAGAGAACGCCGCGAAGAGGATTAAGGTCACCATGGCCGGCTGGGGGGCGTAGGAGTTCGGCGCGAGGAGCACGGAGATCGCCGCGGACATCGCGAAGATCGACACGGAGTGCGTGGAAGTCACGAAGTGGAAGGCCTCCGTGTGGATCAGCCCGACGATCGGGAGGATCGTGCGCAGGTGCATCAGGAATAACCTGGTCGCCAAGAGCGGGAACTCGAAGAAGATAGTTCTCATGATAAGCGAATTGAAAGCGCAGCGCTGGGCGCGCGAGCTCAGCGCTTGGCCCAGACGGGCGAAGCGCAACCGAGGCACGCCCCAGCGGGCAGCGCGCCGAGCGCGCAGGCGGCACTGCTCAGAGACCGCATGGGACACTGGCGACCGTGCCACAGGCGTCCGACGGCGGTGGAGGCGGCCTGGTGGTCGAAGTCGTGCAGAAGCACGGCGATATTGAACTATACGGAGAGGTGGGCCCCTCTCCGTCGCCAGGTGCCCCCCGCGGCCCCAGTGGCGCAGTTGGCTTACAGCCGCACCGCGGCCGCTGCGGCGGCGGCCTGGGGGCAAGGGAGGCTGGGGGGCTGCGCTCTGGGGCAACGCCTCGTGCCCGCGGCTGGAAGGGAGGAGAGGGGAGGGTCGGGTCGGGCGAAAGGGGGGGATAGCAAAGGGGGGGTTTGAGAATCAGCTCACGTAGCTGATTTTCCCGGCGCCTCCCGGCGCCGGAGGCGTCTATGTATCGAGGAATGGGCCCCTCGGTGAGGCCGAAAACAGCTGCATGCAGCAAATTTCGTAACCCCCCCTTTCCCAATCCCCCCCTTTCGCCCGGCCCGAGAGGGGGACGAGATGCTGTTGGATCCTGCTGCGAGGCCACGCTGTGGCAGATCAGGATCCACACCGAAACTGAGAGCAACGCCGCATGCGTGCCAGGAGAACTCTCAGGGATCTCCAGACGTGCCAAACAGATACAGCGACATGCAAGGCGGCCTCCGCAGACAGCGCCAAGAAGCAGGAGAGGAGCAGCAGAGAGGCAGCTACGGCCCATCGGGGGCCCCAGCCCGCCACAAAAGCAGCTCTTACGAACTCCGCCTCCTGCTTATGCGGCCCACTCACTCGCCGCCAATCCTCGCTCAGATCAGGACACCACATCTGGATGCCGCCCCAAGCCCCCCGCCTCTCTGAGGCCCGGGGACCCAGGCATCCCCTCGGCCACCGCGCGGGGAGCGCGGTGCGAGACTCGGCCCGGCCCGGAACCACCCCCGCGGCCCGTAGGCAAGTGACCCGCACCCCAAGGCCCCCCCCCCCACCCCGCCTGCACAGTAGGTTTGAGTCGGGCGTGTCCCCCTACAGGCGGAACTTGGAGGAAATAATAAAGATACCCAACAAAATGTCCAAACTAATCCAACATGTTTGTTCTTCTTTTTTCTCTCTCTCTCTCTCTCTCTCTCTCTCTCTCTATATATATATAAACAAAGAATCGTCCCCTGGCTATTTTTGTTCCATTTTCGATTACTCCTCCTCCTGTGGAGGGACAGGCCCGACTTAACAGCAGGTCGGGACGGCCCTGGCCCCGCACCCCGTGAGCACGGCCGGGCACAACTGGGCGGGGGCGCCTGCAGCGGCACCGCACGGCAGAGGAGGACCGGGCCCCGCGGCTCCAGGCCGCACCCCCCCCCGATGGGGCGAGCCTTATGTCGGGCGTGTCCCCCTACACGGGGATGTTCAAAGAAAAATAAAAAACAACGGGGACTTTCAAAGAAAAATTTTAAAAAATGCCCCAAAAAGGTTGAACAATATTCAAAAAATAGTCCCCGGGCTATTTTTGGACCATTTGTTGATTATTTTTGGGGATGTTCAACGATCTTTAATATAAAAAAATTCCCAAAAAGGTCAAACAAAAATATTCAAAAAATAGTCCCCAGACAAATGTTGTAGCATTTTTTGACTATTCTGGGGTATTTTTTTATGCTTCGTCGAAGATCCCCCTGCAGGGGGACACGCCCGACATAAGACGAGCCCAGGGAGCGCGCACAGAGACGACGGGGCACGGCCCTTCCGGCCGCGGCGCGGCCCGCAGCCCCCCACAAACGGTCACGACCTGGCGGACGCCAGCTCCCCACGGGGCCCCGACGCGCCGCCCTCGCGCCGAGGCACCCTTTCCAGGGGCAGGGCGGGAAAGGAAAGGAAAGGAGAAAGGAGTACCATACGCCCTAAGGCGCGTCGGCGCGGCTCAGACGAGCACGAAAGACTCGACGATCAGACAGCAGGCGAACTCCGTCCTCACCACAAACTCGAACAGCTTGCGGGTGTAGTTGTTTGGCCCATTCGAGCCGGGGGGCAGGGCGGGGACGGGAGGGAACGGGCGAAGGAAGGGGGAGAGGAGGACGAGAAGGAAGAGCGTGGGTCGAAGGAGGGCGGGGGGGCGCGGGCAGTAGGGGGCGCACACAAGGAGGAGAGGAGCAGCAGGAGCAGAGGGGGGTGAAAAGTGGAAAGGGGACAATGCTCCTGAAGAAGGGTTACCTGGACTCCCAGACCATCTTCGAGCCTCGTGGTCTCTTCCGTAACTCGTGTGTCGGCGGCGAGCGAGAGGGACAAGTGAGCAGGAGAAGGCCTTCTCACAAGGCTCGGAATCCCCTGGCCGTCTGAAAAGTCGGAGCCTACCCGGAAGACGCAGAAAACTTCTCAGAGGGCACGAGGGCTTCTGAGAAGTCCCGCCGCCTTCTGAGAAGGCCTTCTCCTCCTCACTCCCCCCGAGGCTCGACGCCGAGTCTGCACCAATCGAAGGCCATCAAGGCTTCCCCGCCAGCCTGGGAAACACACTGGTCCAGGGCCACTTCTATCAACAACCAGGAGGAAGAAGAGGAGGAGGACGAGGAGCAAGCAACGACGACGACGACGACGACGACGACGACGCGGGGGGAGAGGGTAGGGTGGAACGGACGGGCAATGGAAACGCAGGAGGAGCTGAAGGACGCGGAGGAAAAGGAAGACGAACACCGGGAACAGGGGCGGCGGCGAGGAGGAGGGAGAGGAGGAGGGAAGAGGAGGAGCAGGAGGAGATGGAGGAGGAGGAGGAGGAGGAGGAGGAGGAGGAGCAGCAGCAGCAGCAGCAGCAGCAGGAGGAAGAGGAGGATCCCGCCGAAGTGGAGGAGGAGGAGGAGGAGGAGGAAGAAGAGGAGGAGGAGGAGGCGGAGGAGGAGGAGGCGGAGGAGAAGGAGGCGGAGGAGGGAGAGGAGAGGAGGAGGAGGAGGAGGAGGATGAGGAGGAAGGAGGAGGAGGAGGAAGCGAACGAGCGAGAGGGGAGCCAGGAGAAGGGGGCGCGAGAGGGGGGGGAAGGCGCCTCCTCCCGGGTCCCGCGGGCGCCCTCGCGCCCCCGAGCGCGCGCGCGCGCGCGGGCGCGGCCGCTCGCCTTGAGCTCCCGCTTCGCCACCTGCTCGGGGGTCGGCTCCTCCCCGTCCTGCGCGCGGGGAGAAGGGCGAGCGGGGGGGGGGGGGGGCGGGGGCGAGGCGCGAGGCGCGAGGGGGGCGGCGAGGCGCGAGGAGGGGGAGGGCGCGAGGAGGGGGGCGGCGAGGGCCGAGGAGGGAGGACGGGGGGGCAAGGGGGGGGGGGGACAAGGAGCGAAGAGAGGGGGGGAGGAAAGAGGAGAACAAAGAAACCGCAAGAAATACATAAAGATAGAAATAGCAATAAAAGAGAGAAAGGGAGAGAGAGCAAAGCAAACTAACAGCACATAAAGAAGTTCACATATAACGAACAATCGAAGAGAGAGAGAGAGAGAAAGAGAAAGAGAAAGAAAGAGAGAGAGAGAGAGAGAGAGAAACAAAAAATAAAGAGAAAGAGAGAGAGAGAGAGAGAAATAAAGAAATAAAGAAAGAAAGAAAGAAAGAAAGAGAGAGAACACAAAACAAACGAAAGAGAGAGAGAGAGACACACAGAGAGAACAACAACAAAAGCAAAAACAACAACAGCAACAACAACAACAACAACAACAACAACAACAACAACAACAACAACATGAACAACAACAACAACAACAACAACAACAACAACAACAACAACAACAACAACAACAACAACAACAACGACGACGACGACGACGACGACGACAACAACAAAACAAAAGCGGAGGGAAGCCAAGGGCGCCGACAGCCGCAGCGGGAGCAGGAGCAGCAGCATGCAGCAGGGGGAGAAGCGGGCGGGGGACAGGCTCGAGAGGGAGAGGAGGGGAGGGCGAGAGGGAGAGGGGGGGGAGGATAGGGGATGGACTCGCCAGAGAAAGGACGGGGGGCGAGGGGGGGGAGAAGAGCGTCGAGGGGCGAAGGGGATGGGGGAAGGAGTGGCGGGACTCAAGACTCAAGCAGGACCCAAGCGGAGCAACAGCGTTGCGTCTTTCGGCCACGGGGGAGGCCCTCAGGACACGAGCCTGTGGGAGCCCCTCCCCCGCCCAGCCGCGACGTCGACCGCGAAGTACGCGCCCAGCAGCATCGCGACGAACGGGATGCCACTCAGGGAGCGGCTGAGCGGTGACCCCGCTGCCAGCACAGCTGTGCCTCGCGCCACTCACAGACCGCCGCTGCATCTCACACCAATCGACTTCTCGTCAGGGGCGTGTACTACGGGAGACCGTGCGATGGGCGCACACGCATAGACCGTGCCGCCGAAATTGTGGACGGGTGCTGGCGTCGTACTCTCCGATGCCGTCGTCGTCCTCGCCAGCCAGGGCTGCCCGACGATCGCACGGGCTGCCAGCTGGCTCCGCATTCATGCCGACGTGGCCCCATTTCTCGACCAAGCCCCTCGGCGGAACGCCAGGGGCTGCCCGCGGGACGGCGCGCACCACCGCGCGCACGGGCGCGAGCACCGCAGGGCCCATCGGCTCCACGTCCGTGCCGTCGAACACGCACGGCTCCTCCTTCAGACTCTCGCCAGCGGGGCCAGTCCCGACGCTTGGGCCGCCAGCGGGCACATCCAGCACGGCATCCAGCAGGCCGATGTCCTCGCCCCTGGGGTCGCCATCCACCACGGTTTCGACCACGTCGGGGCGCATCGTTAGATCCTCGTACTCCTGTTAATTGCCGCGCACGTGCTGGCAGTCAGGGCAGCTGGGGGCGACGCCCTCCTCGACCTCGGAAGCCGTAACTGCCACCTCCAGCCATCGCCGGCGCTGCCGCTGGTGGACGACGGCGCCGGCTGAACGACCTGCTCATGCTGCCGTTCCAACTCCAGCTCGTCCCCGTCGTCGCACTGCGACGGGCGCGCCTCCGCCATCAGCGAGGTGACCACCACGAACTCGGGAGAATCGAGTCGGGCGCCTCCAGCTCCGTCGCCGCGATCCCCGAGGGAACCTTGCGGAGCCGCGCCAGGCCAGGCGGCGCAGCGTGCCGAGCCCAGTTGGCCGAGCTGCCGAGCTCCTCGGCCGGCGCCGCGAGCTCGTCCAGGCCGATGAGCTTGGCCGCTCCCACCGCGGCCATGATCGAGGCCTCATGGCCGCCCAGCGCGTCGCCGAGGGCCCAAATGGGCCCCAGGCGACCTCCTGAAAATGTCAACCCTCCTGCTGATGGCCAGCGCCCGCGACTCGCCGACAGCGGCGCGCCATTCGCGTCGGCGCCGCCTGGCCAGCGTGCGCGCCGACGCCGCAGCCCAGCGCCGCTTGCCGTGGGGCTCGGGGTCCGTCATGGGCCACAAGCGCGCGCGCACCAGCGCGAGCGCGCGCGCCGCCGTGCGTGGGCCTCCCGCTGCCTGACTCGCTTGAGCCGAAATGGCTACGGAGAAGGAATGGCAAGAGGAGGAGGAGAGGAGGAGGAGGAGGAGGAGGAGGAAGAGGAGGAGGAAGCGAAGAACGGACGAGGAGGAGAACGGAGGAGGGAGGGAGAGGCGTGGGGCAATATAGAGAAGGCACGCAGCCGGAAGGAGAAGCGCCACGTGATGCGGACAGGGATGCCGATCGAAGAATTGTCCCCGCCAACCCTCTGGCCAACCCCAACGAGCGCCGAGGTCCTGGCGTCGCATGCTTTTCCAGCCAGGCGTTCTCGAATAACTTCGGGCCCTGGGAGCCTCGCGGATCGAGCAGCTCGAGAATGGCGCGGGAAAGATGGGGCCTGGGGCCCCCGTGGGGAGTGCTCGCGATGTTGCGTGTTTGCTCCGCAGCGTCGGCTCTCGTGGAGCCCTCTGGCCTCTGGCCCACCCCGGCCAGACTCGGCCGGCCCTGCCGGCCGAGCTCGCTGGCCAGCCCTGGTTGCACGCCAGTCGGAAGAAGTAGGTAGAAACATGAAGTAGGAAGGCGGATAGAGTCGATTGGGTTCGGGCCCGCCCAAAGAATAACGAACAGCAGCCGAACCGGATCGATTGTTGAAATGGGATGGCGCCTGAAGCAGGTTGGGTTCTCAGGATCCAGAGATACCTGCCTTCAACGACCGATGGGTAGCGCCAGAATTTCCAGACAGCAGACCCGCACGGCAAGCGCACACCATCAGTGCCTCAGTGCCTCAGGAGGAGGGAGAAGGGGAGGAGGGGGATGAGGAGAGGGGGGAGGGGGAGGAGAAGGAGGAGGAGGAGGAAGAGGAGGAGGAGGAGAAGAACCCCCACACACACACACACACACACACACACACACACACGAGCAGAACCCACACGGCAAGCGCAAAGAAGAGGGGGAGGGGGCCGAGCACGGCAGAGCCGAGCAGCGCGGCCGACGCCCGGGGGACTACTTCAGCGCGGACGCCGAGCGCGGGGGGCTCTTTCCTCCGTGCAGAGCGGGAGTCCTGAGATCGAGACGCCCTGCATGGGCTCCTCCTCCTCCTCCTCCTCCTCCTCCTCCTCCTCCTCCTC